TGCGTAAGAAAGCTAGCTAGGCATAAACCTGTGAGTGAGCCAAAAAGCAAGGAGCATTTCTTCACGATTCCTGGTTCAGGTTCCTGCCTTGAATTCCTGCTCCAAATGTCCTCATTGATGACTTATGATCTGAGAGAGTGAGATAAAATAAGCCCTTACCTTCTTTAAGTTGCTTTGGGTCAGAGTACATTATCACAGTCAACAGAAAGTAAACCAGACTTTTTAGGAAATACTGATTTATTATGTCATATAAATCTGACATATTTCATTATAGAGTATCAAAAATAATAAAAAATTTTACCAGTAGTTCTGAGAAGGAAAAATACAGAATAGACAACATGGATGGACAAGGAAAGGGACTTGGCAGGGGGGTGGGGGGTGGGGGGGTGGAAACGATGTGAACAGGAAGGATCATGTGGTGAGGACTGAAGGAGAGAGTTGTGAGAAACAGAGTCAGGGCACATGTGGTGCTCTGAATATGCTTGGCCCGTGGACAGTGGCACTATAACGGAAGTGTGGCCTTTTTGGAGGAAATGTGTCACTGGGTGGGCAGGCTTTGATGTCTGATGCTCAGGCTCCAGGCAATGCAGATGAGACCCTTCTCCCGGCTGCCTGTGGAAGACAGTCTTCTCCTGGTTGCCTTCTGTTCAAGATGTAGAACTTAGCTCCTCCAGCACTATGTCTGTCTGCATGCTGTATGTCTGTCTGCATGCTGCCATGCTTCCTGCCAGGATGATAACGAACTAAACCTCTGAAATTGCAAGCCAGCCCCAATCAAATGTTGTCTTTTATAAGAGTTTCCTTGGCCATGGTGTCACTTCACAGCAATGGAAAGCCTAACAATGGAAACTCCCAGGAATCTATGAGGATGACCCTAGCTAAGACTCCTAGGAATATGGGATGCAGAACTTGAACTGGCCAACTCCTATAAACAGGCAAGACTTCTAATGGAGGTACTGGGACACCAATCCAGCTTCAAAACCTTCCACTTACAATATGTGCTGCTTATAAGATGTGCAGGGGTAAAGATGGAGCAGAAATTGAGAAAATGGCCAATGAATGACTGGTCCAGCTTGAGACACATGCCATGATAAGGAACCCACCCTGACACTATTAATGATATTCTGCTAGATTTGGAGACAGGAGCCTAGCAGAAATGTCATCAGGGAGGCTTTACCTAGCAACTTATGGAAACAGATACAGAGACCCACAGCCAAATATTAGGCAGAGCTTGGGGAATCCTACAGAAGAGGGAGAAGATTGTAGGAGCCAGAGGGGTCAAGGACACCAGAAGAAAACCTACAGAATCAATTAACCTGGGCCCATAGGGGCTCACAGAGACTGAATTCACAACCAGAAAGCATGCATGGACTGACTTGGACACTCTGCACATATGTAACAGTTGTGTAGCTTGGTCTTCCTGTGGGATTCCCAACAGCAGGAGCAAGGGTCACTGACTCTGTTGCCTTTAGAACTTTTTCCCATACTGGGCTGCTTTATCTAGCCTCAACAGGAGAAGATGAGCCTAGTCCTGTATGTCAATGCTGGTTGATATCCATGGGAGGCCTTCCCTTTCCTGAAGAGAAAGGGAAGAGGAGTAGACTCGGGGAGAGGAATGGGGAAAGAAGGACTGGGAAGAAAGGAAGCAGAGGAAACTGCAATCAGGATATAAAGTTAACTAATTAATTAATTAACTAAAAAGATGTGGGAACAATATAAAAATCTTTTTTTACCAGTACTTCCATCAGAAAAACTAAAGTCATCAAGATCAAGGGAAAGGAGTCCATTGAGTTCCACAGAGACAGTACTGGGCAAGTGAGAGCTAGAGAGACACTGGGCAACTCTGTGCCTCATGGAAGAAAATCAACAACACATGGTAAAGAAGATCCTAAGAAGTCAAGAGAAAAAAATGCCCTCGTATGCATCATTTGTTCAAACTTGCCAGAAGGAACACAAGAAGAACCCTGATGCTTCTGTCAACTTCTTAGAGTTCTGTACAAAGTGCTCAGAGAGGCAGAATACCATGTCTGCTAAAGAAAAGGGGAAATTGGAAGACCTGGCAAAGGCTGACAAGGCTCGTTATGAAAAAGAAATAAAAACCTTTATCTTCCCCAAAGAAGAGACCAAAAAAGAACTTCAAGGATCCAATGCACTTAAGAGGCCTCTTTTGGCTTTCTTGTTCTGTTCTGAGTACCACCTAAAAATCGAAGACGAACATCCTGGCTGGTCCACTGCTGATGTTGCAAAACAACAACAACAAAAACCAAAACACCAAAAAACAAAAAAACTAGAAGAGAAGTGGAACAGCACTGCTGCAGGTGAAAAGCAGCCCTAAGAAAAGAAGGCTGCCAAGCTGAAGAAAAAATATAAGAAGGATATTGCTGCCTATAGAGCTAAAGGAAAATCTGATGCAGAAAAGAGGAGGAGTCGTCAAGGTGGAAAAGAGCAAGAAAAAAAGGAAAAGGAAAGAAGGAGGATGAAGAGGATGAGGAAAAATAAGAAAGCCAGGCGGTGGTGGCACACGCCTTTAATCCCAGCACTTGGGAGGCAGAGGCAGGCGGATTTCTGAGTTCGAGGCCAGCCTGGTCTACAGAGTGAGTTCCAGGACAGCCAGGGCTACACAGAGAAACCCTGTCTCGAAAAACGGGAAAAAAAAGGAAAAATAAGAAGATAAATATGATGAAAATGAATAAGTTGGTTCTAGAGCAGTTTTGTTCATAAAGCACTTAATCATTCTGTGCACAACTCACTCCTTTTAAGGAAAAATTGAAATATAAAGCTATGTGAGATTTGTTTTTAAACAGCACTGTGTCACTTTTTATATAGCTAACATACTCAATGTGTCCTGGTGGTATTTTCTAAAGCCACTAACCTTGCCTAGTCGAGTCTGGGAGTTGTAAATTGACATGAAAATTTAAAGCAGGTTCATTTTGGTGCACTGCATGAATTAATTATATGTGGGGATGGTAGTTGTTTGATTTTTTTGTTTGTTTGGTTTTAATCTTCAGCTGTCTCTGATATAGCGAATACAAAGATAATTCTTCTGTTAACTGAATAGCACTCTTTAATTGAAAAAATATAAAATTGTAGTGGTTTTGTCGACATTCTGAATGTTTCTAAGTCAATATAGTTTTTTATTATTAAAAAAAGATCCAGGGCGGGCTGGAGAGATGGCTCAGTGGTTAAGAGCACTGACTGCTCTTCCAGAGGTCCTGAGTTCAAATCCCAGCAACCACATGGTGGCTCACAACCATCCGCAATGAGATTCGATGCCCTCTTCTGGTGTGTCTGAAGACAGCTACAGTGTACTCATAAATAAAATAAATAAATCTTTAAAAAAAAAAAAAGAATCCAGGGAAAGAAAGGAGGAGACCTTTTTCTGAAGCTTCTGACTGCAGTGGGTAGTGATTAATGGAGGGACACATCACTGTTCAAAATGCTGGCAATAAGCAACTGTGAGAGCTCAGCCATCGACGGGACATCTCTGTCCGTACCCGCACTGAGGCTCAGGGGATATCAAACACTGACGTGCTGTCCTTCGGATATGCAATGACCACTGCACACATGAACCCACAGCATAGGTGGGTACCTACATAAGACATGCACAAGATGAAGACAATTTAAAATTCTAGCACGGAGGGAGGAGGGGCTGCTGAGTCTTCTCCCTGTTTGGGGAGCTATAGGTAGCTGATGGCTGCTGGGAGAGAGTCACTTTTGTTTAGGAGTGTGGCCACTGGAAGGCTCCATGCCCCACTTGATGACCATAAACACATGAGCACATGGGCAGCACTAACTGTACTCAGTGAGTTAAAAGGTTTAAATTATAAACAGAGGACATGAAGCTGGGAAGGGAATATAGAACTGAGGGGGGATGATCAAGACACCCTATATACATGCATAAAGTTTTCATGGAACAAATATAAAACTTTGAGTTTTTCATTGGCAACAATAATTATTAGTTGTTTTTCTTGAAATGGCTAGCTTACCTTATTCATTTAAAAAATACTTTTAATTAAGTGCATGTATTTGTGTGTATGTCCACATGAGTGCTGATCCCTACAAAGGCAGAGAAGTCAGATCCCTTGACCCTGTCTTTATAGGCAGTCATGACAACCCATGACCAGGAGCTGAATGTGGCTTCTCTGCAAAAGTAGTATGCACTCTTAACCACTGAGACACTAATTGTGAATAACTAGTTTGTCAATTATTCCCTTGAGTTTTTTAAGTGGGTTTTATGATGTTTACAACTAAAACAACTACACTTGTACTTCTCTTGTAACTACTTCACATTGCATAGAAGTGCTTTATGCCTACAGCAAGTTTTACCACACAGAACACCGAAAAGACATACACTTAAAAGTAGATACCTCATAAAACCCAGCAACTTTTCTATTTCATCAGACACATTCTTAAGTAAATCTAGCATCACATTCTTTTTACAGTTAGCACACAGCACTAAAAATACCAAGATGACTACTAGCACTGTTTGGCACTGCTACCTTGTCTCCTGCTAAGGCCCTTCAGCATGTTACTACTGCTTAGCACTGCTGGTGCAAATGTAAACCTCATGGAAAGGGGCAAGTAATGTATTAAGGGGCAAGTATTATTAAAAAAGTAGACTTCCCAGATCACCTAAAAGAACCTCAGGAACTACTAGGGAGCCTACAAGCCATATTTTGAGAACCACTGTTTTTTAAAGAACTGAGAAAATATAAAGTTTCATTACTGCAACGACTCTACAAACTCTTCCTTAATGCTATGCTATAAACTCACTTTTTAAAAAAGATTAGCAGACAGAATCAAGTTAGTTTAGTGTAATTCAAGTTTTCATATGAAATTAAATTTATCTTGAATACTTATAAAACCACTTATATTTACCCCCACTAACATTCCAGAACATAACATTTTAAAAGTCTCATTAAAAACAAAGACTCAGCTGTGAAAACAATAACAAAATAGATACCCTTTAATTAATAAAACCACACGTCATCATACTTAACTGTAACAGAACTTCATTTTGTGGTGTTTCATCCTGAGGATCCTAAGGGGGAAAAGAGTAGGATTATTTTGTTTGTTTGTTTGTTTTTTCAAACTAAGAAATTACAATCTAATGAAATAAACCAAGAATATAACACTTCAGAGATTTCTTACATTAGTGTTTCTTAGCTTTTTTTCATTTTTCAAGTATAGTTATATCATATCCCCCTTACCTTTGGTCTTTTAAACCTTCCCTTATATCCCATAGCTCTTCTAAATTGATAGTCTCTTCTCTTTTTCATTAATTGTTGTTATGTGAAGGCAAGTGTGTGCATACATGCATATGTGTGAATGTGTATGCATGTGTGTGTGAGTGTGTAAGTGTGTGTTCCTAACGACATAACTATAACCTGCTCAGTCTGTACAATGCCACCACTTGGTTTTGAACAACTGATCAGTGTGCTCATTCCTAGGGAAGACTATCTCTCCCACTCTCATCATTCCTCATCTGCCTGTTGTTCTTTGAATAGGGCTGGAGCCTTGTAAGCTTTTTATATGGGGAAAATAGAGATAAAATGTACCATCTTGCCGGGCGGTGGTGGCGCACGCCTTTAATCCCAGCACTTAGGAGGCAGAGGCAGGCGGATTTCTGAGTTCGAGAGTTCGAGGCTAGCCTGGTCTACAGAGTGAGTTCCAGGACAGCTAGGGCTACACAGAGAAACCCTGTCTCGAAAAACCAACCCCCCCCCCAAAAAAAATGTACCATCTTAGCCATTTTAAAGTGCATGGTTCTAGGGCACTGAGTAACTTACATCTTGTACAACCATTGTCACCACGAATTTCCAGACCTTTCTCCTCTTAAACTCCTTAGCTGAAATTCTGTGCCTTTAAACACAAATTCCTTATTTCCATCTACCCTCACTCATGGTAACCTACTTTCTGTCTCTATGGATTTGGCTTCTCTAGGAATATCATGGAATAGGAACCACTCAGTGCTGCATTCTTCTCTAGGGGTCCCCTGCCTATGTCTATGATCTATAGATATGGCTTTCTGAAAATAAAACCACTACTCTTAATGTACAAACATTTTGGCAATCACACTAATACAATTTTATCTTTTAAAAAAACACACACTCACACATAAATCATGGTATATGAGAATTTCTCTATCTTTTCCAATTAGTGTTCAGTATATATGTATACATACATACATATATAGCTTAAATGAAGTTATGTCACTTAAGCTAATAATATTCCTCCATATAGCCATAGACTACTTAACAAAAACTCAAATACCAGGCACAAGAAATCTTTGGAGTTATTGGTCAGGAGACTACAAGAAACTTCTAAAACAATACAGGCTATTGTTGCTATCCTCATTTGTCTCCTGTGAGTTAAAGGTAAGTCCCCACTGCTGAAGACACCATGCACAACACAAGACCTAGAGGCTAAGCAGGATCTGAGCTGAAAGCCTTCTCCCTAAGGACTAGCTTTCATCGTACCAAGAGGGGCAATGGAAGCTTCCAAGGGAGGGAAGCAACCAACAGTCCTACCCAGTGGCAATGCCTATAAACTGTAATGACCAGTACAGCAGGAGAGCTCTAAGAGTACAAATGGTGGCATTCACATCTTGGTGGTAACAAACAGCTCTCTAACTGAACCTACAGCTCCTTAACAGGAAGGAAGTCATGCCTGAAAATGAAACCTAGCCAACCATCTAGGGTTTGTGAGTTCATGGATCTGAGAGGAGAATCTACTACTCCCACTTTGCAAAAAGAGGATAAATCTTAACTACATTCTAAATATCTATCCTTATAACTATAGATAACTTTCAACCCTCATCAAAGAAACTTGTCCTTTCAACAGAAGAAACCCATTACAGAAAAGCAAATTGATTAAAATGTAGAGCAACAATTGATTATACAGTGCCCAGGTATAATTGATACATCTACAATACAACTCCTACACCTAAGGCTTGAGGAAAATCACAGAAGAGAAAGATTTTAAGAGGCAGAGGAGCAGGATAGTTGCTGTGAGATCATATCTCCTAGAAACAGCAAGGATGCTTCACGTATGACACCTCAACAATACAGGTGTCTAAATAAGACCTGAAGAAGCTCACCCATAGATGTAGTAACATGGAACGGGCAATCTCATGGTACTTTACCCATCAACAAAGAACTACAGGCAACTAAGGCATGCTGAGAAAAGGAGAAACAGTCTTCTTCAGGGAAGTGGGAAATGATGTGTGTACTTTTTATAAACTTTAATAAATTAAAATAAATCTTTTAATTTAAAAATGAAGTGAAATTTTAACTTAAAAAAAACTTGAGATAATACAATTAGAAACATAATATAGCTACCCAAAGGGAATTGAAATAAATCTCTTCCCCTCTGTTTGATGATTTTGTATTACATCAAATAAAATTTGAATAAAAATTTAATAAATTCTGAAATTATCCTTTACTATGTTAAGTTACTCTTTAGGTACATGATAGCTTACTGATATTTGCAAAGAAGCCAAGATAAACAAACAAAAAATCAAAATAAATACCTTGGTTCTCCATGACAAATCAGACATATCACACAAAACACCTTCACATGCACTAGAGTAGGTTACTTACAACATAAATTCAGTGTTTTACTTAATAAACTATAGATAATATTTCCTTAACATATAATTTCTCTCAGACTGAGGAACCTAAGGTTGGTTTTATTTTCACATGGCTCATATCAAACATAGACATGTTCCATAAAAAAAAAATTCTAAATATACATATGACTGCCCATTAAGGGCATATATCTATATATCCATTTATACATATGTAATAAATGCTGAAATGGTTACTTGACATGTATTTGTTAGAATTTAAAAATAGCTTAAATACAACCCTTGACAATGGGCAAAAAGACACCTTGTTGATGGTGTTACTGTCATATCAATCAGGGGCAGAGAAGATGGCAGTCCTTTATTCATCCTAGCTTGATGCCTGGCTTGGTAGCTAAAGCTGTCTTATGCCTAAGATTTGATAAGAATAAAATAAAATCAGATCAAATCCAGGCAGCCTAAGAGGAAGAATATAGATAGACTCTGGATCACCATGCCACCCACAGACCTGTCCCCCCAGCGCACAGCACAGATGGGCCACAGACACCTGCTTGCTGCCGTGTCACTCAGCATAGATGGAGGATGTCATGCAAGGGCCCACCAGCCATGTGACAGGCCCGCAGGGGGAGCCATCACAATGTGCAAGTATGTGGCAGTCAGATGGAAGAGAAAGAGAAGAGGAGCAGCTTGAATATTATGAAGAGAGATGGAATTGGAGACTTGAGGGCAGAGAGGAGGAGCCTGTAGTGAGTGTGGAGCCCTGCCAACAGGAGGCCATGGTGAGGGCACAGCCCAAATTGCCCTGGAGGCCATGCCTGAGCCTATAGCTAGGCAGCAACAGTCTATTGCTCATATTACCACTATAGAATATGAGGATGTCCCTGATAGGGCAGCCACTAAGGAACAGTTAGCTGTCCAGGGGCTGTGAATAACTGGCCCTGCCCCTCACTGGATGCAGCAGTCTGGAGAACTGGCCTCACTTCTACCAGCAGCAGCACTAGGGAGAGTGGGCCTTGAACCCTGCCCAGGCAGCACAATGGAGCTGACCCTAGTGGCTGCAGAATGGGTGAACTGGCCTGAAGATGGTGAGTGTGAGAGACCCAGCCATTCCTCTGCCATGGAGTGGCATGGGCATAGAGATGAGGCACCCCACAACACCCCTACCTTGCTCCCTCAGGCAGTTAAGAAAGCTGCCCACAGGGTCATGAGCACAAAAAAGCTATTCCTTTCCATCAGCAGCTACAGCACTTGGAGAGCAGGTCCTGCACCTTACCTGGACAGAAAAGCAGAACTGACCCTGGTGGTGGGGACAAGAGTGCAGGAGAGTTGACTCCACCACTCCTCTGGTGGAAGGTGACACAGGTGCGAGGGTGAGCCCTTCTCACCACCGGCAGCAGTTTGGAGAACTGGCCCTGGGATCATGAGACTAGGTGGGCTGGCCCTGACCCTCACTGGCTACAGCACTCAGGACATCAGGCCCTGCACCTCCTCTGGGCAGACAAACAGTAGAGCTGGCCTGGAGGGCAAGAGCGCTGAAGAGCTGACCCACTATTCTTCTTCAGTGAATGGGGTGGGTGCTGGGGTGATGCCCGTCTTCAGCAATCCTCACCACTGGGGCAGTCAGAAGAACTGGCCCCTGAGTCATGAGAGTAGAAATGCTGGCTGGCCCGTCTCCACTTGCAGCATTGGAGAGAGTACCCTGCACCTTGCCTGGGTAGAACAGGAGGGCTGACACTGGTTGAAAGACAGAGTGGGTAAGCCAGCCCTGAAGACAGCAGTCTAGGAGAGCTGACATCATCACTCCTCTGACTTGAGGTAGTGTGTGTGTGTGTGTGTGTGTGTGTGTGTGTGTGTGTGTGTGTGTG